ACCTCTATCTCAGGTTTATTATCATTTACGTCCAGCACCTTGATAATCACCCTGCAGTCGGTACTCATCGGAGGTTGTCCTTTGTCTGTGGCGTGGACGTCCAACTTGTATACCTCAATATTCTCAAAGTCAATTTCTCCTTTGACTCGAATTTCACCAGTGTCCTTGTCTAGGCTAAATGTATCATATACTTTAGGGTCAAGTTCGCTTCCAAAAAAATACTCAATTTCTCCGTTTACACCCTCATCCAGATCATTTGCCTTTATCACAATTACACTTCTGTGCCTTTCTACATTTTCTGGTATCTTTACTGAATAAACCTCTTCGCTAAAAAAAGGGTGGTTATCATTTGAATCGAGGACTATGACTGTGACATTAAGAGTCCCTGATCTCGGTGGATTTCCGCCATCAATTGCTGTCAGTATCAATTTATGCTCATTCTCCTTTTCCCGATCCAGAGGCTTCTGTAAAACTAAGAATGGTATCTTGTCCTCTCCCCTGTCTCGAATTTGCAAACTAAAGTGATCATTATTGTTTAATTTGTACATGCGTACAGTATTACTAACAACATCTGCATCGTGTGCAGCTGGCAACTGGAATCGTTTACCTGAGAGAGTCGACTCGTAAATTTCTAATACTTTTTCATCATCAGGAAAGGTGGGCGAATTATCATTTATATCTATGATTTCCACGCCCACATGATGTATTTCCATGGGGTTATCAGCTACCATTTTTAGGTTTATCAAACACGGGGAAATGTTTTCACAGAGCTCCTCTCGGTCGATTTTTCCATGAACCTGCAAGAGACCATTGTTCGGATTTACTTCAAACTGAGCATCTTCAGCTCCGGAGACAATACGAAACCGTCGTTCCTCCAGTAAACTGATGTCCAGTCCCAGATCCTTTGCCACATTCCCAACAACACTTCCTACCTTTACTTCCTCTGGAATTGAATATTTTATCTGAGCTGAAACCCGCTCCGCACAGCTGAGCATCAGAGAAAAGCTGATAGCAACCCACCAGCACTGCGTTCCTCGTCTTTGTCCTACTGCCTCCATCTTTCGATTAGACAACAAACAGCGCATCCACTCACAGGTCTTTACATCCAAGATAATAGTCTAACATTAAATTATCAAAACGTCCAGTCAGAAATATACCCCATATTCCGAAGATTCCCACGTAAAAATTTACTACATTTGTGTCTGTTTAAGATCCCGTCTCCTCTCTGTCCACCAGAACAAAACCTCTGTGGAAGGGGCAGGGCCAGTCCTATAACACAAAAACTGGATGCTGATATGACACTGACACCACGTGGACTCAATTTGTTTAAGTTAT